GATATATGAAACACTGGAAATTAGATAGATATCATATTTTGTATTTTATGTTTATTCAATCTATATATTAATTGATTTTGATTACTTAAGTATGGATTTTCGTTCCGATAAAATCTCGGGTGTAATATTCTATTTTTTCCGACCACTCTGTCATAGATCCATTGGTAGGCGGCATTCGCTTGTGCCTCAGTGGCAAAGCTGACAAAACCAAAGTTTTTGGCGCTCGATTTACGCGCGTTAACGACAACCATACGATTGCCACCGATGTAAATGCTTTCGAATCTGCCGAAATCCTCGTTGGTCCAGCGAATCGGTAAATTATCGATAAAGAGCGTTGAATCCTCTCTGTTAGCTGACACAGTAAAACATTTTCTTCCCCTTAAGCTCGACGATTTTACCGTCGCCGATCCCGGTGTATTTCACCTATGCAAATTGAACAGATTTTGAGGTAAGTTTTTATTTATTACTTCCCATTTGATATTATGTGATCGGAATAAATATTTGACATGATCGATTATATTGTATTCGATATATATACAGTACTGCTCAAAAATATTAGAACAAAATGTCTGTCTATTCTATTTTGTTCAAATGTCAAATGCTTTTTTTGTAGGAACACGTACAATGTGTCTGTTGATGACTCAACAGATTCACTATTGTCTCATATTTACATATTATTCACGATTTATGTTAATATATATTTATAACAAATGTATTAATTGTAAACATTGAATGAGTATAAAAGAAGCTGTGAATTTAAATAAAGTTTAAATGCTGTCTAAACTCCAACCTTTTTTTAAAATCATTCAATGTTTTTCAATTAATACATTTGTTATTACCCAAGGAACCTTTTCCGTGTTAAAACACCCAATTCTGAAAGCCAAGTCATTTAATTTTACAACGTTCAATTTATCCTTAATTTTACCCACTATTATGCCCGAATTTACTTCATAAATGGGTATGGTGTATACTTTGGGGCGAGTTACATTTCGGGTAAACGCAAAATGAGATCCCGATACAAAACAAGTTTTGGCCTAATTTCGTGAAGGAATGAACGATCGAATCACATTATAACGTAAATGTTATAAGAGTTCTTGCAAGAATATATTATGTATATATGTCACAAAATTCTACCTCAAAGCATGGGGAAAGAAGCCTTCACACAGGCGCACACATGAATTTAAATGAATCGTTAGAACATAAGGAAGACTGTATGCCTGCAAAATCAGATTTGATGATATTTCTTCAGCAGTTGAATATAAATTGGAATGCCAACAATATATATAATATATATCGTTCAAGCTGAAGATATGTCCATATAAGAAAAACAATTCGTTTAAAGTTTGGTAATTAATTACCTTAATTATAATTATAAATGTATTTTTATTGAGATATCAGTTTGTATCGCTTATCGATTTGTTTTCTCACAAAATTTGAACATTGTTTCGGTTGCTGTATAGCATTAGTAGGTAATAAGTGTATTATCGACTTATTTTAAGATGTTACGAAGAATTACATCGAAAATTAGAGTTGCATCAGGCGGCACATTGGGTGGAAGTCCCTCTACACCATATCCGAAACTTGGCGGGCATCGGATTACACGCTCTGATCCAATGGCCATGCCCAATACTGCCAAACTTAAGCCACGGGGAACGCTTGTACTTCCTATTTTGAACTTCAAACTTTCATTCTTGAAAACTTGGACTTGTGTACTTTCCAATCTTCCAACCAAACTGATGACAACTGTTGAGGTTTTCTGAACTTTTGCTCCAGTTCCAATGAAAGTATCATCATACGTTAGCTTTTCGCGTAATGCCTGCGAGCGCATGGTAATCTGTTGAACCATTGATTCTTCGACGATATTTGTGTCACTTTCAAGGTCTGAGAGTACCCGATTGTTGTCAGTCGTGTTTGACACTAGTGCGTTTGTTTTCGACATCAATGTCTAGAATTGGAATTAGAATAAGTATATCATAAAATATTATAATTTATTTAAAATAACATTTTTACTTACACCTGGTTTGTTTCCAAAACCAGATTTTGTGGCTGATGCATTCTTTGGCGTTACATTCAGGTTGCGCTGCTAATAATTTCGAAAGGTAAAAATAAATGAATAACAAAGCATGCGTATATACAAAAATGCAAGTGGAAATGCACAATAAAGGCGTTGTCTACTCGAATGTTATAAAATATTGTTTACTCTGAATATACTCAGCGTATTGTACAAACGACGTCTTTGAACAAAATAATCGTAAAACCTATAAAAGTATTTTTACTTACTCGTTTTGCTTTAGCCGGTGTGATATTTACTGGCATCGAGCACACGTCCTCTTGAACCGATTGTTCATTTGTGACACCTGCATCAGACGGAATGGAATATTCGCCGCAGAAAAAATCATCCAAATAATCATTCATGATGCTGTTGTCACTCGTACCAATTGGGTCGTTAATGCCTCCAATTGAACTGTTCGGCATTAGTTTATTCTGCTTATGTCTGTTTGAAAATCGAGTTGCTTTGGGTGTCGTTGGTGTCGTTTCTATGACGCCTGCATTGAAGACCTGCAAATATTTTTAATATAAACAATAAATGGCTTTGTCAATTTGAATGTTATAAACATATTGTTTACTCTGAAAAATGTATATTCATGGTATATACAAAGACGTATTTGATTAGAACAATTGTAAATCCTAAAGAAATATCTTTATAAAGTATACTTACGGGACTTGGCGGTAAAGGTTTTCGTTTTTTTGGTGGACTTTCTCCACTTTCTGAACAAGTCACTTCTAAATAATAGCCAGCAAGAAATATAGTGCATGTTCCATCCACAAAAAATGTCACCTCATCGTTTGAACCAAAAGCCAAATCAAGTCGAACTTGAGAATTTGACAAACTCAAGTTTGCCAGTGGAATGTTTTTGTCTTCAAATCTTGCCCACAATGTGAAATCTGTGGCTTCACATGTTTCCAATTGAGGCTCGAGTTGTAATACGGCTTGAGACACATGAAAACCTTTTCTTTCCTTTACCGTAAAGGGTCGTTGGTATGCAACACAGGCAACTTCAAAAAATAATGAATACATTTGAAATTAATAAAATAAACACAAGAATATACATTTTATTCAGCTTACACCAAAACATCTTCTGATTTTCGTCCATTTTCTAAATGATCACTGACAAACCAATGAAATGTAATTTTTTTCGGGAGCTCAGCACAATTTTATGCAAGCCAGTACAAACACTTGATTCAAATAAAAAAGATATATCAAATTAATATCGCTGTCATTTCAACACATTTCGACACAATATGGCGTAGAGTCGCTGTAGTCGCTGTAGTTTCACTCAGTTGAAATGACTGCTGACATTTTATTTGACACTTCACTCCAATTGGATCACACAACTTTGTGTTCAAACATATTTATTAAAATAAATTATTACAAAACTTTTCATTCTGAAATATTGAAGATCTTTATGAAGACTGGCATTATAATGGCAAAAGTACTGAAGGTATATATCTTACAACATATATGTTGTGAAATATGAAAATATTTTAATTCCCAAATTATTATTATTGATAGGTTTACTCGACCTTATGTCGTATCAACATTTGCTCGCATCAACGAGAAGTACGAAATTACGATTCTGAGCAAACTAAGAAGCATAATTTGAAATATAGATATAAATTTCGCACTGGATTCGTGATTCATAACTGGCTGAGCCGCAAAAAACCTCTTCAATCCCGTGTTGAACATCGTCCTGTATCTCCTGTCTTGCAGCAGCCACAAGAGAAGCTATCAAGACGATATGAATGCTACATTTGTGGTTTTGCATTCCGAACACAAAATGTTGGTAACGTACGTCGACATTTGAAACTACATACAGATGGTCGTCGTCTAAAATGCTGTTCATGTTTAGTGTCATACTCCACTAAAGACAATTTCAAAGCTCACCTCAAAAAATTTCATGAGAACGAGGTCAACATAAAATGGGTTTATACGTACGATGATTACGTCAAAGTACGTCCGAATTATCGTTGATGACATGCCATTTTATATATACATATATAATAAATGTTCTTCAAGGAATTCTTTTGTTTTTCATTTAAAAAAAATTGTAAATAATATATTATAATAACATATATCTTTTTTGTTATAACATCATCGACTAAATGCATTATTTATCATTATTTATTTCCCACATTTATTTGAATTGGATGTGTAATTTCATGAAGGAATGATTGAATGTGTGAACCATGATCATATTATAACAATGTATACATTCAAATTGATCTTGCAAGAATTGACTATAGTCACAAAGTCAGATTTAAATCTGGCCAAAGTTAACGCCCTCTATGGGCTAAATTATTGGCTCTCTACCTCTTGACAATAATTGACAACATCAATAAAACTGACATGTACATGAGAATATAAATAATTCGATTCTTCCGATCAAGGAAAGGTAACTATTTATTTATTGTGTGTGATATATAATACAATATATTGTGTGTGATATGGCACGCATAAGGAATTTTTCATCAAAAGCTACACAAACGCGTGCACGAGTTCAAAAGTACCGCCGTTTGAAGAAATTGTATAAAATTTATGAAAATGAAAGCGTGAGACAAGAGTATTCTGAATCGACCGAGCACATTTACGAACCGAGTGAAAATTCTCACAATCAAAACACATTTTGCCTGAAAGAAAAGTTGCGATTATGGGCTATAAAACCCCGAATTACAAAGAGAGCCATCAACGATCTACTTACAATATTGATAATTGCCGGTTGTAATTTTCTCCCAAAGGACAGTAGAACATTAATGAGTACTCCAAGAGTAGTAGAAATAAATACGTTGAGCTCGGGCAAACTGTGGTATTATGGTGTTCAAAAATGCTTGAGAGATGCGTTGAAAAAAGTTGATCGCGATCTCATGATTAGATTGGATTTTAATTTCGATGGAATGCAAATATTTAATTCAGCAAGTTTATGTTTTTGGCCCATTCTGACGTCAATTCAAGGTATACATATTTTAATGTGTTATTCATGATTTAATATATCCATACATAGATCTGAGACTATAAAAAAATTTCATTCCTAACAGAATTTCCAAAAAAAAGGCCTATGGTTGTGGGAATATGGTGCGGCTACAGTAAACCACCATTGACGGAGTATCTTACACAATTAGTATTTGAACTGAAAGAAATTTTTCTGCATGGATTTCTTATTGATGGACATCACATTTCAGTTAAATTTGGGCGATGTGTGTCTGATAGCCCTGCCAGATCTCTTATTAAGGGTACTTGTGAACAAAAGCACTTAATTTTCTCGTAGAAATGACATATTCACAGAAATCAAATATAATTAATTATATTATAATTCCATCCAGGTGTTGTCAATTTTAATCATGCGTTTGGATGTCAGAGATGTATTACGCCGGGAGAATATAATATTGCAAAACATCGAATGAGTTTTCCAATAATTGATGGTGCAAGAAGAACCAATGAAATGTTCAGAGCAAGAACTCAAAAACAACATCACAGAAATGAAAAATCTATTATGGAAGAATTAGACATCGATATGGTGTTCGATTTTCCCACTTCTGACCCGCTGCATTTAATCGATTTAGGTGTTATGAAGAAATGTATCAAAAGATGGATATGTGGTGAAAAGGGATATTCTCGCAAGTGGAATAAAACAAAGATAAAAGTTGTTTCAGATTTGTTAATCCAAATAAACGCACAAATGCCATCTGATATACACAGATCTCTTCGAACATTGGACAAATTGTCCTTTTGGAAGGGCACTGAATTTCGATCGTTCTTGCTTTATGTAGGCGTAGTCGCTCTTAAAGACGCCTTGCCTCTTGATGAGTATGAACATTATTTAACATTATGTTGTGCAGTGACAATTTGTTCATGCAAGAAATATAAGAAATTTATACCATTAGCCAAAATAATGTTTGATACATACATCAATAGCTACATAGCTATATATGGAAGAGACACGATTACAAGCAATGTCCATAACCTGACACATATCACAGAAGATATGTTAGAACAGGGAATTGGAAATTTAATGGAAATTTCTACGTATAAGTATGAAAATTGTTTGAGAATGATGGGATTGCAATTGAGAAATTGTAACCTACCCTTAGAACAAATTTCTAGAAGAATACTTGAAGCCTTGAAGATTGAACAAAATAATATTGACGATATCGACGAACACACATTTGTACCTAAAGTCAAATACGCGCAAGTTGATTGTACAACACATAAAGCATACCAAAGAATTGAGGTTAAACCTGGAATATTTTTATCGAATAGAAAGTTTGGTGACCAATGGTTTTTATCTCGCTCAGGAGATGTAATAAAAATGAAATATGCAATTGAACAAGACAATATCTTCCTAATTTGTGGAGTTAGAATTAAAAGAAAAGAGCCCTTCTTTACATCTCCTTTATTATCAACAAAACTATATATCTATCTGTCTGATGGTCAATTTTGTGATGGTGTTTGCTATGAAAAAATAGAGAATATTTTGACAAAATTAATGTGTATAAATTATAAAGAAAAATTCGTTTATATACCTATTCTCCATACAATGGAAGAATTCAATTAACAAACTATAGTTTAATGAACTTTATTTTCCATTTTTAATTTTTTTTTATTTTTTAACTTGGAAGAAAATTTAAATGTATGACTGAAATATTTAAACGACGATATAAAAACATTTTACGAATAAAATATGCTTCAATAAATAATTTTTTTTTTGATTTGGCAGAGTATAAACAAGACAATTTACTTTAAATCCAACATGTCATTAGATTGATAAAATAATATGTCATTTAGAAAACTACTAGCTTGGATGTATTTTTTTTTAGTTTGCTGTTCCGGCAGTATTTGCTGTGGATTATCAAATCTATCGTCTATTTGTATGTTTTGCATTTGTGCCAACATTACCATTTTTTGGCCTCGTTTTTCGATTCGAGGATCCTTTGATTCGTAGACTCTGTAGAAAAATATTTTAGGATATTATATTTTAATTTTTTTACATATGTATGAAAGATGAATCAAATTTTCTGCCATAATTTCAAGCAATACCTGGTGGAAGAATCAAATACTCGTTGTCTGGTTGTATGTGTGCTACTATCACCACTGTAGTCATTTTTTCGATGCAATCTATTGTTTCTATTTGTTTTAATGCCGAAATCATTAATTAAACTGTCCATTTCATTATTGCTATGAAATATAAAGTTGTATTGAATCATTAACAGTTTAAACATTTATGTTCTTGTATGATTAAAAAGTCACCTGTTGAAAATACGATTGAAATTGTTGTCCTTTTGTGATATACCAGTATTTAAATTTCTGCCTGTGAAACGTAATTCTGTTAGGACCCTAGGACAGATATAAAGATAAATGAAATAAAGTGATGTCATTAAATGAAAATAAATAAAAATCACCTATGTTCCTTTGGGTTTTCTATCAATGCATCATCATTGATGGTATTATCACATATATCTTTCACGAGATCGATTGGATTTTCAATCTTATTCGTTGACTCCTTTCTATATTTGTCGAAAGATATTCGAAATAAAAATGGTTTAATAATAACGGTTAAAAAGTTATAATAATTTTAAACTCACGTGTAAGCATATTTGAATATTTTGCTGATCATTTGTTTTTCCAATATTTTTTCATCATATCTTGGATCTTTCGATTTTGCAAGATCAAAGAGAAGTTTTGTGACATTTGATAACGATTTGAAGGAATTTTTCTTCCCGAATTGTTTTCTCGTTTTCCCCGTCCAAGTAAATCTTGAAAGCAAATCTGGTTTTACAATTGCATTTATAAACTTCTTCAAAATTTTATCCGAACTGCTACTTTGAAATGTGAGGTTAGGATCTGGCATTTTTACCAGTGCACCAAACTATATAAAAGATTCAATTGTTTTTAAGATGGCTTCATGAAATAAAATAGAATACGAAAGACAATTTTCTATAGTTAACTTACAACTCCCGATTTCAAATCTGCGTCCACCAAGTTCTCATTGAATTTTTGAAGGTTATGTACATCGGCAAACGGTAAACCAATGCGTTTTAGAAAAAGTTGATTTTGGTCATTTATTTCAGAGGTTTCTTTTGATTTTTCCTCATTAAAACG